AAAGAATACCAGAAAGATGTTTACTTGGCAAAGAATACCAGAAAGATGTTTACTTGTGTTTTATTGACTATGCAAAAGCATTTGATTGTGTGGATCATAATAAATTGTGGATAACATTGAGAAGAATGGGAAAAAATGGGAATTCCAGAACACTTAATTGTACTCATGAGAAACCTGTCCATAGACCAGGAGGCTGTCATTCAAACAGAACAAGGGGACACTGCATGGTTTAAAATCGGGAAGGGAGTGTGTCAGGGTTGTATCCTTTCAACATACTTTTTCAATCTATATGCTGAGCAAATAACCAAGAAGCTGGACTATATGAAGAATGTGGCATCGGGACTGGAAGAAGGTTCATTAACAACCTGCAATACACTGACAACACAACTTTGCTTGATGAAAGTGAAGATGACTTGAAGTACTTACTGATAAAGGTTGAAGACTACAATCTGCAGTATGGATTACATCTCAATATAAAGAAAACAAAAATTCTCACAACTGGACCTGTATGCAGCATTAGGATGAATGGAGAAAAGATTGAAGTTGTTAAAGAGTTGCTTAGTTCTACAATCAATGCCAATGGAGGCATCAGTCAGGACATCAGACGATGCATAGCACTGGGCAAGTCAACTGCAAAGGACCTCTTTCAAATGCTGAGGAGCAAAGATATCTCCTTGAGGACTAAGGTGCAGCTGACACAAGCCATGATATTTTCAATTGCCTCATATGCATGTGAGAGCCGGACAATGAATAAAGAAGACCGAAGAAGAGTTGATGCTTGTGAGTTGTCTTTCTGGAGAAGAATGCCGAAAGTACCATGGACTGCTAAAAGAACTAACAAATCTGTCCTGGAGGAAGTGCAGCCAGAATGCACCTTGGAAGTGAGAATGAGCAGAGTTCATCTCACCTACTTTGGTCATGTTGTCGGAAGGTACCATTCCCTGGAGAAGGATGTTATGCTTGGTAAGGTGGAGAGTCGACAAAGGAAAGGAAGGCCCTCAATGAGATGGATTGACACAGTGGCTGCCGCAATGGGCTCAAGTATAGCAGGGATCCCAGAGCTGGTGCTGGACTTGGCGGTATTTCATTCTGCTGTGCATAGGGTTGCAATGAGTCGAAGACAACTTGATGGCACCTAACAACAACAAAAACAACAGGCTAGATAATATTTGAAGTATCTTCCTAATGATTCTGGTATCAAGAGTATATAACATGTACTCGGCACATATTTTAACTGCTGTAAAAGTATTTCCCTGGAACTAGAATCCCAATTTTTCAGACAAACCATCTTTTGCTTTAGGAATAGTAGATGGAATTATAGTTTTCCCCTATTTTCAACCTTCTTTGATGAGCTTTACGTACTGGGGGGCAAAAATTGATTTATTCCAAGAATTTCACAAAAGAATGGCCCAAAATATGATTTTCACATCTGCTAGATTGTTTACTTCTTCTGGGTTCATTTTCTTAAGATGAGTTTACTAATGCTTGATGAAAACCACTTTGTGTTTTTATTAACTAGGGACATAAAGAATTACAGGTCCTAATGGGTCACTTTATGAGATCCCTCTTACCTTCCTTGATGTCTGTGATGCATTCACCTAGCAACAGCTTCTTTGATGTGCAAACATTCTACTGGCAAATTGCTCATGGCAGCTACCCATACTGCACAATTGAGGTCTCTTCTGGGAATTGAGTTGGATTTGGAATTTCTGCTTGTACCTGATATGGTAAAACTTTGTTTTTACTTTCTACTAGATGAAACATGGCATACTATAGCTACGTTGTTGTTGTTATATGCCGTCGAGTCGGCCCCGACTCATAGCGACCCCTCCTTGCGTTTCCGAGGCAGTATCACTGCGGAAGTAGGATTGCCCAACCTTCCTTCCTAGGAGTGGCTGGTGGGTTTGAACCTCCAGCCTTCTGGTTAGCAGTCATAAAAATACAATAGTCATATACAAACCTAAAATCACAGAATAATTGAATCATATGACTGCATTTTTAATTTTTTTACTTTAAGGCTCCAAGTATATTTTCATTGTGTTTTTATGAGGTTAGTTTGGAGAACAGTACTAT